TGAACGGCGATAAGTTGGGAGAAAAATGGAAATTTCTTAACGATCGGCGCGTTATTCGTCGTTGTCATGGAAACGAAACCTCCATTTGGACTTTCTATGAAACGCACAATACTAGGGTGACATGATAACCCACGTGAGAAATTTCATCCCGATTGGTCCAGACAGATACACAGACAGAACAAATGAACATTTACAAACTGGAAGTGGTTATTCGTGGAATTTCTAGGTTTTGATTCACGATATTCTAGTAATATTCTAGACCAGGGTGGTCCAAACCCAGGCCCGCGGGCCAGAGGGTAATCAAAAATCGCATTTGGTGTTGTTTCGTCAGAGAATTAACCAGAAAAATCTTTTGGCATATTGTTATATCACCAATGTCACTGAATTGAACAGTGTTCTTGGGCGACTAGCAAAGTTGAATGATGTGCTTGTCAGTCTAAGTTGTTATCTGGATTTCTATCTTTTTGGTCACGAATATATGCTAACAATTTTGGTATCATAGAAAACTTAAAATTGAATTAGCTCTGTTGGCTATGTCTGATAACTAATACTAATGTCATGGCCTTACAATATAATTCATGCCGGGTGTTTTTTGCAGCCCGCCTGAACAGTATTACAAAAAATGCTGGCTATATGTCAGAACATTTAGTAATTACCCTCCTGTACCTCACATTTGGTAATCAATCAATCTGCAGTTATTTATTTGTGAGTTATTTTGCAAACTGACGAATTCAAACATATTTTTAACTGAATGTGTGTGGGGGGGGGGGGGGGGTACCACAATGCTTGCTTGATATGTCGGCAAGTTTTGTCGGTGACAAAAGAATATAATTTAAAACAGCATTTTAGAATCTTGTGAGCAATGAGCATTTTCCAAAGTTAAGATTTTACTTTAAAAATCCTATCGCTGTTCAAAAGCACTTACATTTGCGAAAACACTTTTACCGTTATGGAGAGTTTGAAATATTACACTATACGTAGATATAAAAAGTATTTTGCTAGTTTTAGTAAGTTTTTTGGTGGTTTTTGCATGATTTAGCTTGATAAATGACAAATACTGATCAAGGTGGCTAATCAATTTTGTGGCCCCTGGAGCCGACAACCTTGGACCACCCTGTTCTAGACCTTACCATTGAATTTGAAATCGAAAAAAAAATCAAACTACAATAGTAGAAAGATCAGAATCGATATATATTGGGTGGCCACTCAAACACTGAGAATTCAGACCCATGTTGTCAAATAGAACGAAAGCTTGAGCTTTCTCACCATCCTTTTGTGTATTTGTAATATAATTTTGGCGCTAGTGGGAACATATCAAATAGAAAGGCCTGCCACCACCCCCTACTTTATCCTAATGCCTCAATATATATTTTTATTTATTTCAACCAACAAAACCCTTCTGTAAGCTTCAAAATATAGCAAACTGATGACGAAGTAACGCATCTCTCATGCGTAGCAAACCAGTCGTAAGCGAAATATATTCAGGAGACTATGATTAAATACCTAGTCAGGTGCCAGAGGTAAAAGGTTACTTTGAATGGCAATTCATAAAGTCTGTATAAAAGACTAAAAGTTAAAGTTTGTCACAAAGTTTGTTATGAAAAGGCAAGCTTAATTTATGCTTACAGGCCTAATTGGCCTGTCTCATTAGAATTTACTTAAATACAATAGGACATACGAACATTCATGATATCAAAATTAATCCTTCCATTGTAAATGTCAGAAGAATTATAGCGTTAATAGTGCTTCAATCAGTGTCACATACATATACAGCTTAGAATAGAATATGAATAGCATCCCAGTGAGAAGAACGTTTAAGTACCCAGAAGCGGTCTAGTAAATCCAGAGGCGCTAGTCAATGTAAAAATAGAGATTACAAGCACCATTAAGCGTGGTAACCATGATAACTGCTCACACGGGGCACTGGCAGCTGATTGGATTAGGTACGAGTTTGAGTTTTCAAGGATGCATAAGGTAGGATTTACAAAGTGCAGGCGTGGATAAAATGTTACCTAATTAATTTACCCATTTGATAAGAAGAGAATATGAAACATGAAATCGTACTGTCAGTGTGCTTGAGTAAAAGATGAGTACCATAACTCTGTGTGAAATTATTGAGACTAATGATTTTAATCAGTGAATTGAATATTCAACGAAATGTGGGTAACAATAAATACTGTAATATGAAACAGTTATTATGGGGTTTCGCAACAAGCAGTCGATGAAATGTTTAGCAACAATTGAGAATAGTGTAGAGGTGTAACAATTCAAAATAAAGGTAGTTGTAATGCACAAAATATAACATTTATTAACAACTTAGCATAAAAGGACTAACTAACTGGTTTGAGATCAAGGTTCATTGTACATCTATGGCCTGGAAATTATTGTTTTGAATGTCATACTGCACCCAATATTATATATGGATGATATCCTCAGAACACTCCTACATATCGCATGAAATATGTCCATGCAATGGTACCAATTAGCGGAGAAATACACTATAAAACTAAATATAGAATGAGATTTAAAAAGTCACAAATCACATGACTATTCAAGGTACTAAAGACTCAGTAGCTAGGAATATGGTTAATTGTTTAGCTGAAAATGGTGGGAAAATGGAATACCAACACGACATTAACTGAGATATAAGGCAGCAGCAGATTTTTATATTTTGCTTTCAACGCTTCGTAGGGGTGGTTGAAATAAATGTAATATTATCTGATCAGGTGAAAATTAAATGCGGACATGGAACAAATAAAACTTTCAATGTTGCAAATAAATAGTATTTCAGATTTGTCATCATTCACTATTTATTGTTTAAAATTTGTTACTTTCTGTTCCAAATTTTAATCTATTTTTTCATCATTTTTCTATTGAATACTCAAACTAGAAAGCAACTTTTGGAGATGATAGGATAACATGGGAAATACAAATTTACACGCATGGGCGTAATGTCATAGTAGTAAGAGCTTTAGATTTAAATAGTCGCACTTGCAGGTATGAAATTCAAAAGTCAAAAAATGTTTTGACCTGTCTTTGCTCACTATGAGATAACAAAATTCTGAAAAGTTTGGGATTTGCGAAATTTCTTGCAGTTTTTGCAAGGAAGTGCGCTTATAGTAAACAAAGAAAAATTTTAAGCTCATACTATAGCTTGAAACACAAAATATTTAAAATTCAAGTTTTGTTTTTTCCCTTTAATACAAAAATCACCATTGGGTGAAATAGCGATCGGGTCGTTGCTGCAAGCCATGTCAATTGGACAAAAACTCAGCTAATTCTGTGAAGTTTCATTGAAGATATTTCTAAAAACTATTTAGTTCCAGATCAAGCATATTCATTGTGTACAGCGGTTTTCTATTCGAAAATTTAGGGGGCTCGGTCTGGTAACCATCTAATTATTTTTAAACATATAAAAATTTCTATAAATGGTTCTTTACTGAGTGAGAAATAAAAACAAGCCGGTAGGCACCCAGGATCTCCGCTGATAGTTGGGGCCCGCACTTAGCTACTTACTGCCATCCATAGAAACTTGAGGATCTTCAACTGTGGGGGCGATTAACTAAGTGAGCGGGTTGGTTAAAAAGTCCAATTCATTTTGAGCGCTGCGCGTTTTGTGAACATACTTACAGGACTGATATGCGGTTACTAAAAATTGGAAAGAATCATGTTCATTAAAATCCCTAAGGCTTCTCCAGTTTATGGAGTATCGAGACCAAAACGACTTATTTGAAAGCGTATTTGTGCAGAAGGTAGCGTTCTTGAAATTTTAACTTAATTAACAAGTAAACGGCGATAAGTTGGAAAAAAATGGAAATTTCTCAATGCGCGTTATTCGTCGTTGTCATGGAAACGAAACCTCCATCCGGACTTTCTATGAAACATGAAACTTTCTATGTGAGAAATTTCATCCCGATTGGTCCAGACAGATACACAGACAGAACGACTGATAATAAAGGGGTCTCCTAGAGCGGAGATCCATTATGAACATTTACAAACTGGAAGTGGTTTTTCATGGAATTTCTAGGTTTCGATTCACGATATTCTAGACCAGGGTGGTCCAAACCCAGGCCCGCGAGCCAGATGGTAATCAAAATTCACATTTGGTGTTGTTTCTTCATAGAATTAACCAGAAAAATCTTTTGGCATATTGTTATATCACCAATGTCACTGAATTGAACAGTGTTCTTAGGCGACTACCAAAGTTGAATGATGTGCTTGGCAGTCTAAATTGTTATCTGGATTTCTATATTTTTGGTCACGAATATATGCTAACAGTTTTGGTATCATAGAAAACTAAAAATCGAATTAGCTTGGTTGGCTATGTCTGATAACTACCGGTAATATTAATGTCATGGCCTAACAATATAATTCATGCCATTTCAATCTGAGTTGCATTCAAATTTTCAGAAAAATGTGTTATATGACTCTTTTCAATGCCGTTCACTCCAAACCAGGTTTTGTACAATTGTTCACTGATATCTGTTAGAAGGTAATACTATTTCCTTATCCTTTTTTAAAATATATCAGTGAACAGTTGTACAGGGCCTAATTTAGGGTGAATGGTGTTGATAAGAGTCATATAGAACATTTTTGTCAAAAAATATATTTAATGATAAGTACTCAAGAAAAGAGTACTTTGCTAATTTGGTTCTAAAATTTTCTTTCAATCAATTAATCTTGGAAAATCATCAGAAAATAATTTAGTACGATATAGGGCAATTTCGCGTATTTCACACATTCACAGAACAAGACTCAACAGAACCGAATTGATCAGAAGAATTGATTATTATGTTTTTCAAACAAATCTTTGAATAAACAAGTAGGCCTGAAAACTATTATTTAAAGAAGGTAAATTTAAAATTTTTTTCATAAATTCCACCATGCAATCCAATTTTGGGTTATGAAAGTGTAAAACTATAACATATTGAAAAATCAAAATTTCCTCCAACCCTTGTTAAAACGTTACCGGTAATTATGTCATTATTATTGTGTTATACCTCTGTGTTTCCCAAGGATGATTTTAAAGCTTGTAGTTGATCTGATGACAGGTTACAGTAGTCAAGGCCCAAGTATTTAACACAGGATTGATTGGAAAGTATTTGTCCAACTGAAGATAAACCTACAACTCCCATGTTTGTGTTTTCACTCAGCCACAACCTCATGATCTATAAAGAGACAAGAATAATTTATAAACCATGAAATCCATAAATGATTCTTTACTGAGTGAGAAATAAAAAATTATGAACTTCTCAAACTGAAAGTAGTTCACGATGCAAAATATAACATTAATATCCATAGAAAATACCGTTGAATTCAAAAACAAAATCTGAAATACAAAACTAGACATATCAGAATTAAAATCTGTAAATTTGGAATAGCTGAATCCCATGTTAACAACTGCACGAGGTGAAAAATTGAGCAATTATGAAATCCTTAAAACTCATAGAACAGAACAAAAATATTGTTATATCAAAACAGTCACACTATGAGATAAAAAATTTCTAAAAAGTTTAGCATTTGTGAAAATTTCTCGTAGTTTTTGCAGGGAAGTGCACTTATAGTAAACAAAGAAAAATTGTAAGCTCATACTATAGCTTAAAACACAAAAAATTTGAAAATCAAGTTTTGTTTTTTCACTTTAATACAAAAATCACCATTGGGTGAAATAGCGATCGAGTCGTTGCTGCAAGTCATGTCAATTGGACAAAAACTCAGCTAATTCTGTGAAGTTTCATTAAAAATATTTCTGAAAACGTTTTAGTTCCTGATCAAGCATATTCATTGTATACAGCGGTTTTCTATTCGGATATTTGGGTGGCTCCGTCTGGTAAACATCTAATTATTTTTGCACGTTTAAAAATGTCTATAAATGGTTTTTTACTGAGTAGGAAATAAAAACAAGCCGGAAGTCACCCAGGATCTCAGCTGATAGTTGGGGCCTGCACTTAGCTACTTATTGCCATCCATAGAAACTTGAGGATCTTTAACGGTGGCGCAATTAACTAAGTGAGCAGGTTGGTTGAAAAGTCCAATTCATTTTAAGCCCTGCACGTTTTGTAGACATACTTACGTGACTGATATGCGGTGACTAAAAATTGGAAAGAATCATGTTCATTAAAATCCCTAAGGCTTCTCCAGTTTATGGAGTATCGAGACCAAAGACAACTTATTGGAAAGCGTATTTTTCTGTGCAGAAGGTAGCGTTCTTGAAATTTCAAATTAGTTAACAATTGAACGGCGATAAGTTGGGAAAAAATGGAAATTTCTTAACGATTGGCGCGTTATTCGTCGTTGTCATGGAAACGAAACCTCCATTCGGACTTTCTATGAAACGCACAATACTAGGGTGACCTGATAACCCACGTGAGAAATTTCATCCCGATTGGTCCAGACAGATACACAGACAGAACGACTGATAATAAAAGGGTCTCCTAGAGCGGAGATCCATTATGAACATTTACAAACTGGAAGTGGTTTTTCGTGGAATTTCTAGGTTTTGATTCACGATATTCTAGTAATATTCTAGACCAGGGTGGTTCAAACCCAGGCCCGCGGGCCAGATGGTAATCAAAAATCGCATTTGGTGTTGTTTCGTCATAGAACTAACCAGAAAAATCTTTCGGCATATTGTTATATCACCAATGTCACTGAATTGAACAGTGTTCTTGGGCGACTAGCAAAGTTGAATGATGTGCTTGGCAGTCTAAATTGTTATCTGGATTTCTATCTTCTTGGTCACGAATATATGCTAACAATTTTGGTATCATAGAAAACTAAAAATCGAATTAGCTTGGTTGGCTATGTCTGATAACTAATATTAATGTCATGGCCTTACAATATAATTCATGCCGGGTGTTTTTTGCAGCCCGCCTGAACAGTATTACAAAAAATGCTGCCTATATGTCAGAACATTTAGTAGTTACCCTCCTGTACCTCACATTTGGTAATCAATCAATCTGCAGTTATTTATTTGTACGTTATTTTGCAAACTGACGAATTCAAACATATTTTTAACTGAATGTGTTGGGGGGGGGGAAGGGACCGGGGGGTACCACAATGCTTGCTTGATATATCGGCAAGTTTTGTCGGTGACAAAAGAATATTTTAAAACCACATTTTAGAATCTTGTGAGCAATGAGCTTTTCCAAAGTTAAGATTTTGCCTAAAAAATCCTATGGCTGTTCAAAAGAACTTACATTTGCGGAAACACTTTTACTGTTATGGAGAGTTTGAAATCTTACACTAAACGTAGATATAGAAAGCCTTTTGCTGGTTTTAGTAAGTTTTTTGGTGGTTTTTGCATGTTTTAGCTTGATAAATAACAAATACTGATCAACGTGGCTAATCAATTTTGTGGCCCCTGGAGCCGACAACCTTGTACCACCCTGTTCTAGACCTTACCATTGAATTTGAAAAAATAAATCAAACTACAAAAGTAGAAATATCAGAACTGATATATATTGAGTGAGCCACTCAAACACTGAGAATTCTGACCCATGTTGTCAAATAGATCGGAAGCTTGAGCTTTATGAAATCCTTAATACTCACAAAGCAGAAAACTAACATTAAAATATTACTATGATTTTAACACGGCCATTTCAATTAATGAAATGCTGCTTCAATAGAGTAAAGTATTATGGCCCCCTGTTTCATGCATGAGTGACCATGGATTTGTATCTGGCTCATATTCTGTTAACCGGGGATATTGAACTTGGAAAATGTATTTTCTCTCGTCATGTACGATGTTAATGTCTTCATTTCTCACAATTCTTTTGTATATTTGTAATATAATTTTGGCGCTAGTGGGAACATATCAAATAGAAAAGCCGGCTGCCGTTTGTACGAAATAGGCAGAGCAGCCCAGGACAGGTGTCTGGCAGATAGCAGTTACATCATTGACAAAACATGATAAAAAATATCCGAGACTTTTACATTGCGGGACGAGGCCAATCTTTAGCGCTTAAATTAGAGTTTAAAATTAGGACATTATATATTTATCCGGGGGGAGAGGAAAGCCAATAAGATTGCTTAATCATCATATGGCGAACCTTGGCCTCTCGTTCGGTTACCAATCCATGGATGGGATTAGTTTTCAGATGCATGAACTTGATGGTGGAGAAAGCCGTAACCGACCAGTGGGTACATGAACCACCCTATGGTGGCGAGGAGTCCAGTCATCCTCTCATACGTAATCAACGCCGCATATGATTCGAAACTGCGAACCCATGCATGGTAATCAGAGATGCGGTGGCAAGCATAGTCCTAACTCTTAGCAGAATTTGCCACACTGCCGAGCCATGCGCCACACCGCTGAGAGTTTTTCATATTACGGCTCAACAAGTCGTGACAGAATAAGTAAGTCGTGACAGAATAAGTAAAAGAAATTTCTGTTCTTCAGTTGAACACCAAGGCTCGCCATAACTTTATATGCTTAGAACCAGATCATGTTCGTTTCATTGGACTACACATACAAATTTTTAGAAAATTGGTTGCCAAAGGGGCATATCTGCTGTAAATTTACAGGAAATATATGCATACTGGCTATTTTGCAATTGATGATAATTTTCTGCTGTTACATATATATTTTCAAACAACTTCATTGATTGTAGGAATCATGTTATTTAAGATTGAGTAAAATTAAATATCACTCAAGGGAAAAGCCAGTGGAGGAGATTACATGGGTAATACCCATCATTTTTTAATTTTTCATGATTCAAAATTTCTGCCTCCTACTTAGAACAAACAATGCCTCGTTTTACTTTCAGCAAATCACAGTATTGCGGTCAAAACTATTTTATTCTGTGCACTATCACCTCAATGGTATTATCACTACAAGTTTTTATTTGTCTTTACAGCATCTTATGCTTTCATAGCGCTGATAAAAATGCTTATTTCCGTTATTATCGAAATATTTACCTTACTCATCATCAATCATATCGTGTCTTTGTGTATATAAATGATTAGTGGAGGAGATTACATGGGTAATACCCATCATTGTTTAATTTTTCATGATTCAAAATTTCTGCCTCCTACTTAGAACAAACAATGCCTCGTTTTACTTTCAGCAAATCACAGTATTGCGGTCAAAACTATTTTATTCTGTGCATTATCACTACAAGTTTTTATTTGTCTTTACTGCATCTTATGCTTTCATAGCGCTGATAAAAATGTTTATTTCCGTTATTATCGAAATATTTACCTTACTCATCATCAATCATATCGTGTCTTTGTGTATATAAATGATTAAAATGTCTGATATCAAGTTTTTATTTGTCTTTACAGCATCTTATGCTTTCATAGCGCTGATAAAAATGCTTATTTCCGTTATTATCGAAATATTTACCTTACTCATCATCAATCATATCGTGTCTTTGTGTATATAAATGATTAAAATGTCTGATATCAGCGAGTCGCAAATGACTTTCAAAATTAATTTTCACGATTTCTATCGCTTTATTTCTAAACGTTTGCACATAGAAACAATTTTTAAGATATGGGTTAATATTCCGCGACTTACCGTATATTAAATTAATTTGGGAACCACTTTTATAATCAAATGCGGGCATATAAGGAATTGTTTATAGACATAAAATAAAATACGAAATGTATTAATATTTTGAGTCACATCAAAAAAATGGGATATACATGCATATATCATTTGTTTATTGTCTGTAATCATGTCATATTTCGTAACTGACAATTTATGGTAATTTTGTTCTCGATATATTTCATTTACATTCGTGTTTGTGCCATATTTCCTATTTGAATTATATGGTAGCGTTATGTAGGACATCGAAAATGCAAGATTAGAGAGGTTGATGTTACCTCCGTCTTTCTGAAGCAATTTTTTTGCGCAAACGACGACATTTTTGTGGAAAAATTCACTTCACAAAAACAATGCGTGTACCAGTTAGCTGAATTATCAAACATTCAGTGAGTGAAAGACTGAATATTTTATGCAAAAAACCAAACAAAATAGCTGGGCAAATTAGGTGGCCCATACCTCTCTACTTTTCCATAGCATTTATAATCCATAAATAAAAAAAATATGTGATATCATTGTTAACTCGAAGCAACCTAGTCAAAATTGAAATTTAAAAACAGACAAGGTCTGGAGACAACCAACCAGGTTCCAGAGGTCAAAGGTTGCTTTGAATGGTAATTT